AGGGAAAACGTGCCACAACTGCCCAAAACATTTCCATTAGGAGAAACGTGCCTTAGCTTCAGAAACAATGCCAATGCTGCATATTCAGTCTACCGCAGAAGTTCTCTGGTCTCTAGTAGGAGTGCTAATAGAATAGACTAGAAAGCCTTTATTGTCATTATTATTATTGTACAGAATACTACAAAATAAGGAGAGCTACTCCTGATCAGTGCAATAAAAAGAAAAGTAAAGTAGCATGGTGGCTCAGGATTTGAACTAGATAAACAGTCCTCATATTGCATTTAAGGGGTCATTTCACTGCTTGTTGGAGTTAAGTGTGCTTATGGCCCAGGTAAAGACACTGTTCTTAAGTCTGGTGGTCTGTGCTTTGATGGTCCTGTAGCACCTGCCTGAAGGCAACAGGTCAAACAGGTGGTGACCAGGATGAGAGGAGAAGAGCTGTCCTGTCTGCTGCTGGACAGCTGGTGTACCACATTGAGATATAATACACCAGTAGCCTACACTCTCGATGGTGGAATGCTACAAGGACACCAGCAGCTTTTCTTCCAGCCTGTTTTTCCTGAGCACTCTTAGGAAGTGTAGACGCTACTGTGCCTTAAGAGGAACAGCTATATTCTATATCTCTCATCTAAAACATCATCAGAGAAAGCAAAAATGACTGTCAGTCAAAAACTTTTATCTGGATCAACAACATAACATGCAAATACACATATAGTGTAGTATTGTTTCCAATGGTTGTATGTCATTGGTAATATCTTTGTTATATTTGGAAACTATAGACTGATGGACGTGATGGATAAAGAAATTATCTCTTTTCTCTTATGACTGCATTATTTTACCTGCTCTGTGCCTTAGATTACAACCAATCCAGTCCTTTTAACAGTTTAAATATCTTTAAAGCAGACAGTAATCAGTTTTTGGCAGATGATCACTTGTCCTCCCAAGAGTCTCTTTCACAATCCGTGCACTGCTCCACAGGATCTTCTCATGGATGTATTATTAGAACTTAGGTCTTTATAATTAATACATCCATGTATGCTTCTTCTCTTTTTTTAACTGTTTTGTATAGTAGTATAGTAGTTATTGCCACTTTTATAGTGTAAAACTGTCTGGAACATGTATCCTCATAGAGTCTGTGTATTGAATGAATAAATAAATAAGAAAGGCTACTCTCAGGTCAAAAATCAAGCTGTTCCTCTTAGCACTCCCCATGGAGACAACGTCTGCTGCAGACTGGCTATGTAGCATTTTTCTGTTGCATTTGCTTTCAGGGGTTGGTGAGTTTTTTTATTTGATTTTGCACTGTTTCTGTATTTGCAGCATGTTTGCTG